GTAGTCTTAGAGATAACCAATGAATGAACCACTGTTATACATTTCTTATCCAGTTAGGGGCACAGCTGGGCATTCACCAAAGTTGATAAAAGGTACTCTTGGCAACAGCATATATTTGTATTCTTATCCAGTTAGGGGCACAGCTGGGCAATCACCAAAGTTGATAAAAGGTACACTTGGCAACAGCATATATTTGTACCTCTACAAAGAGAGCTGGGTCCAAGAGTAATTTATGCAAGGTACTCTTGGCAACAGCATATATTTGTACCTCCACAGAGAGAGCTGGGTCCAAGAGTACTTTATGTTGCATATCTGATACTTCAGGGGGAGTGTAACCCCATCAAGGTCAGATAAATATCCCTCTAATAATCATCCCAACTTTACCATCTCTATCCTAGGTAAAGGTAAAGGTTCCCCTTGACAATTTGTCCAGTCATGTCCGACTCTAGGGGGCGGTGCTCATCTCCGTTTCCAACCGATAGAGCTAGCGTTTGTCTGAAGACAATCTTCTGTGGTCACGTGGCCGGCACAACTAGACACGGAACACCGTTACCTTCCCACAGTGGTGGTACCTATTTATCTACTCACATTTTTGCATTTTCCATGCTTTCAAACTGCTAGGTTGGCGGGAGCTGGGACAAGCGATGGGGGTTCACTCTATTGTGTGGATTTGATGTTACAACTGCAGTCTTCTGACTTTGCAGCACAGAAGTTTCTGCGGTTTAACCCGCAGCGCCACCACGTCTCTATCTTATCTGGATTCAATTTCATTTTAGTGCTCTTTGTCCACTCCATTATTGATGCTTGATAGTGCTCAAGGAACTGAACAACATTACCCACAGATGAAAAGGATAGAGCCATGTTGTCCATTTATTGATGATAATGAACTCCAAATCTCCATATAATTTCTCCCAGCAGCCTCATACAGATATTAAAAAACAGCTGGGGATCCCTGATAGACCACATAATAGAGGTCCCAAGGAGTAGATGCCACCTTCCTAAGTTGCACCATCTGAAACAGGCCCTCAAGAATGAAGTAAAGCACCTAAAACAGACCTCCTCCCCCTAAAGTCCTAAATTCAACAGCCATCTCAGAAAGATGCCATAGCTCAGGATAGCAATGGCTGCAGAAAGGTCCAGGAGGTCCAGCTGGATCAAGCACACACATACACAGATCTGCCTCCCTCAGGAGATCATCATGCTGGACAATCAGTGCTGTTTCATTTCCATGGCACCACTTGAACCCCAACCGAAATGGATTTAGGTTATCTGTGCCCTCCAAGAACAGCTGCAACTAGTCAGCCACCACCCTCTCAATCAACTTGCCAAAGAATTGTATGTTGGCAACAGGCCTACAGTTATTAAAATCATTCATTGCTAGATTTGGGTGTTGTTGCTGTTTTGGAATGCCCCTTACAATGGTTTCTTTTAAACAGGAGGATAAATTACCCTTCCCCATCATCCCATTTTGCCAAGGGATCTTCTTATTCTGTCTTGTCCCCATGGCTCTAGTATGATGGAATGCAGGTTATGGATGCAAGTCCTGGTACATCCAAGAAAACCCCATACTCTGTCAGAATAAAGTAGAATGGGAGACAGGGGAAGAAGAACTTAGTATAAATACAGCATCTGGAAAAGCTGCCATTGCCTGACAGTAAGCTTCCCTGAACAGAGACATCTATCTGAGCTTGCAGCAGTCTTAAAGCCTATAACTCTGTAATGCTGTAGCATTTGTATTGGTGTCTGGTGAAGTCAGGAATGGTGACAAATACAGTAATGGAAGTTTCAGACAAATTACTAGAGGATGTAATCATGTAACCATCAGTAACTACTAGTCCATGCTTAAGGCCAAACAGCTCAGAATGTCCGTTGCCGGGAAACAAGAGCAGGAGAAGGCTATTGTCTTTATTTCCTGCCTATCCATACGCACATAACTGGTCAATATAGGAAACGGGATGCTAGACTACATGATCCTTTATAGTCCAACACAGTAGGACTCTTCTTAACATTCTAATGTAACCAAGTGTGCCCCTGAAAGGTAAAGACATAGCTGAGAAGGGTTAGCAAAACCAAACACAAGGAAGCAACCAGTCCCACCGAAAAGGTGATGATGAGTCCAAACTGCTCTGGGAAATAGTTTTATTAAATTGTAAAACACCTAACAAGTGTCAGTTAAGATTTTCTTCAGCAGCACAAGATTACAGCTTTCCTAATAAAGCTACATCCATTTTCTAGTACACTTCTGAGATTCTACCTCTTCTTGGTACTCTGTTGTAGGTCTACACCAAAGGAGAGTGAAGTGTGCACACCCTTTCCCTCAGGCTGTTGTACAAGCTTCCTTAGCAGCTACTCTTGCAAAAAAAATGTTTGAAATGAAACAGTGACTCTAAGTTTTGATACCACTAATGTTTTCAAAGAAGTTGTCCACCCTGTACTATACAGATACAGGTTGCTTTTCAGAATATTAAGGCCAAGAAACAGATTAATGACTTGCATCTTTATAGAAAAGCTACAAAATAATCTGTTATAGAGATACTTGACCAATTCATTAATTAATATTTTGGTTTGTTTGTTTGTTTGTTTGTTTGTTTATTAGATTTCTATCCTGCCCTTTTAGACAAAGTCTACTCTGGGCGGGTTCCATTAAACATTGTAAGCTAAAACAGTTAAAAACAATTCAAAATAGTGATTAGTAATGCTAAGTAATGCTCAAGATGGGAAAACAGAAAATTATAATAAAAATAAAATCACGTTCAGTGACAGTAACTGATTCTTGTTCACCCTGAAGCTCATAATTTTGATCCAACAACGGAAAGCATATTTACTCTGAGGTCCCAATTTGCCCAGTAAGGCTTTCTCTTTAGTAAGCAAGCATGGGATTGGACTGCAGCTTAAGAGCAACCTTTATGTCGTTCTTCCAGTGCTGGCTTTATTTGTTCTTGAGCACTGAACAGATAAAGAACAGCATATAAGGCTGAACCATAGTTAAATTCTGCATTCAGGAGCAAAAGGGAGCTCCAGCGAAGCTCAAGCTTCCATGCTCTGCCACCTGCTTTTCCCAATTCATGGCTTGCCATTACAGGACAACTAGTCAGTGTGATTTAAATGAGCTTACTATTGCACATCAACTGCAAACCTGAATTATTTAGTGAGCTGCTTGGCAAACTATTTTAAAATAAGAACAACAAGGAACCCAAACAAACTGAATTCAAGTTGACCCCTTTGCCCAAATGTACTAAAGAATTTCAGCCGAGCAATTTCCACAAATCTTTTTTTGCCTGTGCATGTAGCACTAAACTATACTTAATGGACTTACTGGTTCTGACTGATGTTCAGTACGACTAGCAAGCAATGCAACCTGGCTTGCAGAACCAGTACGGGATTTACAGCTTCGTCCCACTTCCAATTCAAGGCTGATATTAAAGAATATACTTACATATTTGAAGTCAATGAGGGTATTATTGTCACTAACTAGCTTATTAATGGTATGGGTTTGACTGGCTAGCAGTCTGCTTCATTAGATGCACAGACTGGAAGCTGGTCATACAATCACTGTTCTGTGATTTGTGTTAAAATTAATCAAAGCAAATTGTTCCTTAGAAAAGCTGTATCACAACAGACAACTTGAGGTATCACCACACTAACACGTTGTTCAATTCCTGAGCTGTACATTAAATCTATTATCATCTACAAGTCCCATGAAAGAGTTCAAGAAAGCAGAGTGAGACGCCATTTACCTAAACTTCTTTTTGAGCCTTCAATAACTTACTGGTGACAAAATTAAACACATGGATTTTTATTACCAACATCTTGCAGAACTATCAGCTAAGCCAAATGCACACTTAACCTTAGAAGTTGTGGAAAACTGTAGAAAACCATATCTATCTTATACCTGTGTTTTCATATCTGTGTAAGAGACAAAACCAAGTATTGCTGGAAATTAGGTCATGTTTTAATTGACAGAAACATCTCAAGTGTTTGGCAACAAATTATGTGATTGTGTAATTATCTCTTACCATGTACCATGCAACACCAACCAAACAGGTTCTGAGACAGAGACATGTAAAAACACCAGCAGAAAACATTATTTTAGAATCAAAGTATTCAACTCTCCAACTGCATGTTTAAACTGCATCACTGTAGCTGCGCAGAAAACATTACAATTTTACACTGCCGCTCTAGTGAATGTCAAACAAAATCTTGTTTTACAACTACAAAGCACAGCAAACCATTAAAGCACTAAAAGCTTTCATCTTCTGGTAATGAAATGGATACAGAAAACTGCCTAGCAAAGCAATCCCTTCCTAGCATTTACTGCCTACCTTGTGATTCTCTGACATAGGAAGTCAGCAAAGGACTTACTAACAGGGGGATGAGGAAGACCCACTAACCAAATATTGATTTTTTTTCACCTACCACCACCTCTCCGTTTACAGATTTTAATACTACCTCTGATTCCCACCACCACCACCACCAAATACTACGGGGAAAAAAGGCTTTCCCACAAAATACCCCTGTTACATTGCGCGGATGCGACCCTCCCCGCCCCCCCCTCCTACCGTGGGCCTTACACACCTTACAATTCCCTCTCCACCCCAAGCTTCGTGCTGGCATCTTCCCAGGTTTTGTGATGCTAGGATTTCCAACGAAAGGCTGCCTGCCAAATGCCACGGCACACACCCACCCTTGCCAATAAACCAACGCTACCCCTCAGCGGCCGCTCTCCCTCGAGACTATCTGCAATTCAGTTCAGCAACAGCACCACGTTGCAGCACCGAGGGCGCGCGCGCGCACACACACACACAAACACACACACAAAAGGAAGGACACCTGCTCCCCGGAACACCCTCAAAGCCCTCGCCCCCCCCCCAGCTGCCACAGGGGGCGGGGCGCAGGGCGGGGAGAAGAAGCCCCCGGGGGGGGGGTATCCGTACGAAGTCGGCGCGTTCCTACCAACCACACCCACCGGGACGCTGCCTGTCCTTGCCCGTCGCCCTTACCTGACGCCCGGGGGTACGAGGGAGACGTCCGCGCTGGCCCCGGCTCCGCCATCTTCCTCCTCCCGCACCCTCGCTCCTCCGGTTCCTTTTCCTCCCCCCTCCCCAAAGCGCCTGCTACCGCGCTTCACAACAGGGACGGCTAAGGACCAGGCGGCTGCTGGTGCTGCTGCTGGTGCTGGTGCTGCTGCCGCCGCCGCACAGGCGCACTGCTCCGGCTTCTGGCGCGACACCTGACGCGGCGTGGGTAGGACTAGAGAGGGAGGCGGGATACGGGCAGGCGGCCCTCGCAGGTTCCGAAGGGCAGGACCGAGGCTTGGCTGCTGGCTAGGAACAGTCAAGCCGCGGGCGCGCAACAGCAGCAGCAGCAGCAACAACGCCGCTTTCCTTCCAGGTGTTCATCCTCTTCCCGCCACACACTTCTCCCCGCCCACCAACGTGTGGTGACCTGCTCCGTGTTCTCTCCCTATTCTGTTGCTCCAGGCGGGCGGGGAAACCAAGCCGGAGCGCCTGTTCCACAGGCCGACTCCCGAGGAGGCGCCAAAAGGAGAGAGGGTGGGAGTTGCGGCTTCTGTTACGCGCCTACTATTCCTCCCAACCCCCAAATAAAATAAAATCCCAGCCAACGCTCCCTTCCACTTCGGAGATGAATTTTTTTAATGAGGCGAATCCTTTTTAAAGCACGGGGAGCCTCAATCTTCGCCTTCAGGCTTCTTGGGGGAGTTTCCAGATCCTCGCGTAGCCTGCGCTTTAAGAGCGCATCGAGCCTCCCTCCTTGGACGTAAAGAGGAATTTACAACATCTCAACACAGCGCCTCAAGACGAACACGGCTGCTTCCCGGCGGGACAAGACGTGTCGGGACAGAAGCGCTTCCTTCTCGCCTTTTGGTAACTTCAAAAAGACGAGGCGGGAGCGCGTCACGAGCTCTGGGAAATAGCTTGCATGGGGAGCGCCTCTGCTTGAGTCAGGGTGCCTTATAAGCCGTGGGTATTTTTCCAACCCCCAACCCACGCCGTTTTTTTTTTAAATTCATTGTGATCCTTCAGTGGAGTTCAAAGCCTGTCCTCATAAAGTCATGTACCGTTGCGATCCTTCAGACCACTTCAGCTGCCTGTATTATTTAATGTGGCAGCTGATAGGCACGCAGTTTTACATGCCTAATAATGAATAATTATCTGCCCTCGGGTTGATTGTGAGTTATAGCGATTCTCCCCTAAAAGTTCACAACTCCTTCCTTTCAGGGCCACACAGCTAATGGCAGAGCATTTAAGCCCATCAGTTGTACCTGATCTGGGTGACCTCAAGTGGCCCCTCTTCTAAGAAGGGCAGTGGGGATTCAAACCGGAAGTTTCAGTAAACTAACCTATAGTTTCATTCCTAGTACTGTACCAGAATAGAAAAGCAAACTGTTAAATTTGGCAAATTAAGATAGGATGGAATGATACAGAATAAATCTGCATTTTCAGTGCATCTACAGAGCTGGAAGGAATGAGGGAACTGGCTTTAGCTATACAAGTAGAAAGGCTGTCAAGCTTTGCAGCTTCATACTCTAAATCGGATTTTCAAGTATATTGTGCTAGACCTTCAAAGGGGGAAGGTGAGCTCAGTTTTCTAATTTATTCTACTGTAGTTCCTTCTGTTCATCATAGTCTGCAGAACCCATGCAACTGAATAAGGATAATATCCTGATATTATTTGCACATCAAAATTTGCTTTAGACCGTAACTAATTATACATTCATTCCAGAATGTTCATGATTCAGTGCTTGAGCATCAAGGGAAGCCCAAACCTTCTCCCCACTATAATTATTAAATTATGTGTCCCAGGTTAACTAACTGCTTTTTTTGCCCGAAACTCACAAAGAAGAAATAAGTGAATACCAAATTTGAAATATGTTTTTGTCACAGATTCTAGACTTCCACTGTAATTACTCCATACAAAATACAGGGGAAAAGGCAACACTTTAAAAAAATGGGAATTCAGGGATTTAATTCTATGTCATAAAATAATATGTTTTGGTCACAGATTCTAGACTTCCACTGTAATTACTCCATACAAAATACAGGGGAAAAGGCAACACTTTAAAAAAATGGGAATTCAGGGATTTAATTCTATAAGTCATAAAATCTTCCACTTCACATTTTGGCATGGACACAGTAACAATTTTTTTCTATTAAGGCAGGTACAGTATGTAAATAGGGGGAAATGCATTATTGCTCCCATAAAAGTAATAATTGAAATATATTAGGAAGCACCTCTCCTTCCCTCTAGTCCCTTCCCAGAAAATTAAGACCAGCTGAGTGGGATCTCCTCTGTATTTTAATGCTCCATAGTAGAAATTGCCCTGCTGCCTGGAACTGCAAGAGCTCAACCATCCTGGTTAAAGAATGCTTTCTTCAATGCAGCCTGATGCGATTTCTCTATTCCTCAGGAAGCTGTTAATCATGACTTTATTTTGATTTATTACTGTCACTTTTATGTTGAATTGTGACTGGCTCTTTTAATCTTACATAGAGTTGCCTGGTCCCACCCTGAGATCTGTTGAGGATAAGCTGTTGATTTTTTAAAAAATTGCCTTTAGGCGGGATATAAATAAAATAACTAAATATAAATAAATAAGCTCTTGATTTTTTAAAAAAATGACATTGTTCTGATAGCCTGCCTGTTGCAATATTTTATACAGAGAAAACGACTCAAACTTTACTTGATACAGAATATATAATCATTTTTTCTTTCCTTTTATGGTTAGGTTCATGTGTATTACACAAGCCATAAAAAAACTATTTGCTTCTAAGCTATTTCAAAGTCCAGGTACTTCCCTTTCAATATCCAAACGACTTTCATCCCAGATAAACTTAAGCACCTCGTATCAATCTGCCCTTGCTTTGAGAAAGTCTTCTAAAAAATTTCCAGGTGCCTCCATTATTAGAGAGATGCTTCTCAACAAAGGGAAGGGCAGTGGTAGCCAAGGTATGGAATGCTTTCCCTAAAAAGGGTTGCCCCATTAATTTTTTGCAAAACTCAGACAAGCATTTCTTATTCGCTTAAGCATATTGTTTGTATTTTACATCTGTATAGTAAAATTGTCTACTGCCTTGAAATTCTAACGAGATGGAGAGCACCAGTACACAATTGTGTCAAAGACTTCATTTTCAGAGTCCAATTTTAGGTTTTACTGTGTTTGTATTCTTTACTGCTGTGAAATGTCCAGGCATCATCTTTGTTTCAAAGCTTAATTATTTATGAAATGGTCTTTGGCACATTTGGGATGTTTCAAAACTCTTTCAGCATATATACCAATCAGTTTATTATTCTTAAGTATCAGGTTGGGGGATCCTGTATCAAAACATACTGTGCAGTATCAAAGATTTGGACAAACATGATGTTGGGACATTTCACAGAAGTTTCCTAGTGGCAGTGTATATAATAAATGGTCTCATCAAAAAATTAATCAACACCTCATTTGGGAGCTGAGAAATGGATATTCCCTTTGATGTTATCCTCCATACATGCATCAATCTGTTAAAATTTTATTTTATTTTTAAAATAATAGAACACAGGCATGAAAACTAATAGGTACGCTCGATTTTGTTCAGCACTGCTCTTTTTCAGGGAAATCTTATTCCTTTCTGCCAATTTGTCAGAAAATGTTGCGTAAAAATGAAGTTGTGACCCAACTCCCCCCTTCATGCATGCAGAGTGCCCCCGAGCACTGCCCTGCCCTTCGTACGTGTGCACGAGTGAGCGCGCACACTCCTTTGTGCATGCGCACGAGCGCAGGGGGTGCCCCGCCTTCCCCAACGGGTCTGCGGGGTTAAAAGGTGTCAGAGTATAGAAATTTTATAAGCCTGAACCTGTATATGTGTTTCATTAACGAGCTGCCATTGTACAGACGTGAGAGTGCTGAATCACTCTGGACATGATGTAATGACTTGAAACCAGGAGAAGACCAGGTGCAAAGCATGAAGTCATCTGTTTTCTGATTGGACAAAATATGCCATGTATATGTATATAAGTGGACTGTGTG